GGGGGGGGGGGGGGGTCATGCCCATTGACCATTTTACAAAAGTACTCCTTAATTTAAACCATTTTAGCAACACTGAGGAAGAAATTGTTGTTTTTCTGGATCTGATCGGACCTGGAACTTTTAAAATAAAGAATTACTTCAAATTAGTTTATCCAAATCTCGCTTTTTATTAAATCTGGTCCCAATTTTATCTTTTTCGTCAAAATGTTTAGACTCACCTCAAAGTAGAGCAGGGGGAGGATTCCGACCTTTTCCTCTTTTTCCTCTTTTTAATCTTTTTCTTCTTCATCTTAACAAAAACAACTAAACTAGGATATTAATTTTGACACATATGTATGAGGAATATAATGTTAGGGGAGGAAAATAAATAATCGAGGATTTTCTTCATCTTTATGTAGATTAATGGGTATCTTTAATAATGTATTTATGCTTTTATATAGAGGACAGTTTTATTATATTCACCCTGAGTCATTTATGTTGATTGTTTACTTTTACGACCATGTAACACATTCCGAAATTCTAGTCTCCACCCCTTTTGGACCATTTACTACGGCCCTCCGTCCCAAATTCTCTGGTTTGTATCACACCTTCGTGTCATGTTAGCACTCAAATTTGTTCCTCCATGAATCGGTTCCTCTTGTGGACAAATTCTCACGATACACAACAATACGAAACTTGGCAGACAAACAGCCATTTTTGGTCTTAATAATAGACATGTAGACGCAAGGATGGTTAGACTCAAAGGCAGACTAAAAAAGATTGACTGACTAGATGTTACAGACCTTTGGACGCTATCAATTTAGACAAGTATATTTTTTCAAGACCAATCATAAATAATCAACCAAGCAAGATCAGAAAAGATCGAACAACTGAAACCATAGGGCACGGCTTTGTAGAAAATAACATTGAATGCTTTTCCGAACAAAAGTATAACTGTTAAAGAAAAGTTTATGTAAAGTCCAACTCGATCTGAAAAAATAAAGCTAATTGAAATAATTGCAAGAAACAAGAGAAAACAGACCATACTAGAAACGGACAATGTGTGTAAGAGTGAGACAAAGACATTTTTAACCAACAAAATAGAAGCTTACAATATTTTGGTACCTTGGTTGGTTTAGAATTCTCTTGTTCATATTTCTCCTTTCGGGACATTCTTGAATCCTTTCTTTTCTTCTCAGAACAAGACCCAGACTTCGATCCTGTTCTGTGTATTTAAATAGAATTTAAACGAGAAATAAAAATCTCTAAATACTAGGTAAGATGAAGATTGCGGCAGCGCGTCTTTATAAATTTGATCTTTAAGTCAAAAGAAAACTGATAATTACACTAAAATCATTTCCCTCTAACCTTTTCTTTGCAATTTCTTCAGGATCCTTTATTCTACATTCATCAACCGGATTCTCATCTTGATCATCCGGAGCAGTTTCTTTATCATCCGGACTAGCATCTTCTTTACCCGTGTTCACTTGATCTTCACCCGGCTTCTCCTGTGTGTCTCTAGTTTTCAACAGTCTTTCAAACTTCCCGCCTGAAATACGATCCGTAAATAATAATATAAATACATGGATATTTTGCAGGGGCCTTCACAAAAATTATTAAGATAACTTGTGATGGCAAAACTATAATGTTGTACATAATACTATCGATGTAAACTATGATTAAAATCCATTTCTGGATTTATCAATCTTAAATGTCAACCCTGTAAGTTTTTTTTTGAGGGGGGGTATCACTGTCTTCTTTTTGAAACCACTGATATACTGGAAACTTTGTGCTACATGATACTTAGATTTAACGTCCAACTTGTCGACATTTCTTCTGGGACTATCCAGGGAAAACTGTCTTCAGTTCCATGATATATTTAGGCACATTGGTACAAATATCTAATATCATTAAAAATTGGGTCCCCAGATATATCCTAGATATAAATAGATCCTTAGATATTTAGTTTATCCAAAGTTCAAAACCAAGGTTAAAATATGGAAAAATCCCTTAATGCATGGTTTAAAATGTTTCGTTATCTACTACTATGATTAAAAAACGCTAAAATCTCCCAGTTATATAGGTTCCTAGTTAAAAAATATCTTTAAAATGGTCGAATTTGGTTGATACAAAATATGGCGCGTAAAATATTTATTTATGGTTTAGTTTACAGCCAGTAATACCAGGCTTAGGCAACCAGAGTGTAAGACGGTCTTTAATCCATACAATTGAGTTTTGAAGCGAAAAATCCTTCCTTAAGAGTTGGAGGGATTAGTTTGTAGG